AATTTGATGCTTGTACAGATGCAATCATTTGATTTCGTATCTTGTCTTTTTCTAATGAGACAAATTTTAGGTGTAACGAATGAGTTGTCATTAGCACTGCAGAGGAATGATCAAGATATTGTCAATGCTATGGATTTGGTTAGGGCAAGTAAACAACAACTCCAAAGAATGAGGGAGGAAGAATGTGAATGGGAAAATTTCTTGCAGAAGGTAAATTCTTTTTGTAATAAGCACGACATTAATATTCCGGACATGGATGCTATGTTTGTTGCTCAGGGAAAATCTCAGCGGAGGGCTGAGAAGTTAACGGTCTTACATCATTATCGAGTGGATGTCTTTTACTCGGTGATTGATAGACAACTTTCAGATTTGAACGACCGCTTTAATGAGGTAAACACCGAGCTTCTCATTTGTGTTGCAAGCTTGACCCCAGATGATTCATTTTCTGCTTTCGACAAGCAAAAGTTACTCCGCCTTGCTAAATTCTATCCGGGAGATTTTTCTGAAAGAGATGTGCTAGCACTTGAAGACAAACTTGATATCTACATCACCGATATGAGAACAAATTCTAATTTTTCTCAACTTAAGGGACTCGGTGGTCTCGCAAAAAAAATGGTGGAGACAAGAAAGCACCTAACTTATGCATTGATCTACAAACTTCTAAATTTGGCTTTAGTTCTTCCGGTTGCTACAGCTTCAGTGGAAAGAGTATTTTCGGCTATGAATCTCGTGAAGAATCCACTCCGCAATAGAATGGGAGATCAATGGATGAATGATAGTTTACTTGTTTATATTGAGAAAGATGTATTTAATAGCATTAGCAATGATGCTATAATGCATCGATTTCAAAATATGAAATCGCGTCGTGGACAGTTACCTTCCCATCATTGACTAAAAGATTGTATTTTTCTTATTTAAGTGAATGTTTTTAAAAAAAAAATTAAGTATTTATTTTTTCATATTGCCCTGGCTGGTAAAAAATTCTGTATCCGCCGCTGCCTATTATACACATTATATTACAGGGAGAGCTTTCTCTCTGCACTTCATCTTCTACATTTGCTCATTTAAGCATCGGAGGCTCTTCACCGAAGACCCCCTTAGGTGTGAGAGTTCTGCAGGTTCGAGGATGTTTAACCGGCAACCAGCTTGAGATTCAGGCATTTCCAGCTTGTTCTAGCCAATCGGAGGTCTTTTTGATACCAAAAAAAAGTATAATTAGGCTAATAGAAGAGAGGATCCAAGATGCTAAAAGCTGGTCTCGTCTCTACCAAGCATCAAAATTTGTGTTGTAGTATTGTGGTGAGTATTCCCGCCTGTCACACAGGTAACTCGTGTTCGATCCCCGGCAATAACACTATTTGTTTTGTAGTTTCTTAGTGAAATACGTTGATAATCGAGTTATTCAAACCTAGGGCCGTCTCTCAAGGAAGACTATTCAGAGATTCATTCACTTAGTTAGTTGTCAAATGTACTAAAACGAAAATAAAGTTATAGACATTCTAAGCATTTGATTGGGGGAGTGATTTTAGACTATGCTTAACTAATAAATTAAAAGAAATTAACTAAAGAAGCTAACTTTACTTAAAGATCTAAACTTTACCTAAACTGAAGTCTTCAAAACGAACAAGCTAAAACAAAGAGAAATGAGCTACACCAAACACAACTAGAAGCTAAAATCGAACAATTGATTGCGAAATAACCGACCTATAAACTAAGTCTCTATTTTTACTCCATAAGATTCAAACTTTAACTACCCAATTACACTAGATAAGTAAGATGAAACAATATATATATATATATATATATATATAGATATATATATATATATATTAACTAAAAATGAGCTTAAATGCATAACTCTGGCCAAGACACCAAATCCACTTTGAACACATTCATAAGCGAAAAAGACCAAAAATCGAACTACTAAACCCTAAGTAAGGTACTTACTCTTTTTTGCGTGCTCGGGCGAAATTAAGGCTAAAAGATTAAAACTTTAATTAAAAATAGCATCACTGAAAAAAAGTCGAGCTTTGAAGCTCCCAAGCACATAAAAGTAGAGAGAAAAAGGAAAAATAGCTAAATCCCAAAATGGATAAGTGATAAATGAAGTCTTGGTGACACAAAGGACTAAATGTATTTGTACACACATTGATTTCACACGCAATTACTAAACTGAACTCGCGCCTCACGTAATGCAGTTCTCAGCGAGTGCGGCGTGTGGCACGGGTCTAACAGGCCTGGACTCGCGACCTCGCGAAATGAAGTTCGCAGTGAGTGCGGCATGTAGCACGGGTCTCGCAGGCCTGGACTCGCGACCTTGCAAGATGGGGCTCGCAGGTGAGTGCAGCGTATGGCACATGTCTTTCACACAGGACGGGTCTCGCGGGATTGCAGGTCGATGCTAGCTGCGAGTGCAGGTATGCTACGCGGGTCTCACGCGAATCGAGTCTCACAAGCTCGCGGGAAGACGCTCACAGCGGGTGTCCCACATGCGGCCTAGGTCTCTAGAGCGGTCGTGGACGAGTGTATGCGGCTAGTACCTCGCGGACGGGTCTTGCACGCCTTCTCGCTGCCTTGCAGGATGGGAGTCGCTGCGGGTGCGGGTGAGACCTCGTGTCAAGACTTTCTCTCTCGAATGACTCAGATGGTTCGGATGATAGCTTGAATGGCGGCTCGGATGGCTCGTCCCCCTAGCTTTCAAACAATGGACCTAAATAATATGAGAATTTTTCTCAAGCTAGTTGAAGCGAAGTTTAATGAAGTGACCGACGGATTATATGAGTTTTTTTTCTCAAGCTAATGGAGGCGAATTTTAATTGAGTGACTGACGGATTATATTGAAGTAAGAGGTAAAATTGAATGTACCCACAAAATATCGGTGTGATTTTTTCATTTAACTGATTGGATTTAATTTTTTTTCAAATTTTTTGAAAAACATTTGGGCAAAATTTTTCATTTTTTTTTTCCAAAAAAAGTTACTTAATTTAGTATGCATTTATTTTTTTCTGAATATTTTTACTTACTATTTCTAGTAAATAGTTATTATCTTTATATATATATGTTTGCACTCATGTGAGAATGGTGCTTAATGAAAAAAATAAGAATACATTGTAGTCATTAGATCGCATGATCAAACGGTTTATGAAAAAGCCAAAAATATATATTCATTAAGGACATTGTGGTAATTTTCTACACTACATTCAAATAAGTGGGCTCTACTCCATATTAATATACTCCAACTACCCGTCAAACCACAGACCCTACTCCACCCACCCCACCCACCCGCCTCATTCCGCCTCTGATACTCCACCTCCGAACGTCGCGCCCCGCCCGTCAACAACCGCCAGTTACCAGCGACATCGCCTCAGCCGACGTCGCCCCTCCGACGCCGAAATTGAAGACTGCCGCCTCCAGCTGAGATCGGAAAACCAATATCGAAAACGTCCACGGCCCGCCACTTGCTGCCGTCCGTTGATGAAAGTTCGACGCGAATTCGACCGTGAAGTACCTCTTCGGCCCTTCTCCGACCACCACGCGCCGTCGACTCGCTAATGTAAAAGCAGATGGGCTCGATTTTGTCCGCCCTGAAATGTCGTAGACGTCCACTTGCCGCTGGCTCGCTCGCGAAATCCTTCTGTCACCGCCGCTGCTGCCCCGTCCCGCCATCTGACCACCGTTGTTGTCTTGTTCCGCTGTCCGATCGCCGCCGCCGTCTCTTTTTGCTGCCGTCGTCGACCTGAGTAAATTGCTGCAACAACTTCAAGTTTGGGGGCTTGATTTTGAGAATTAGATAATATTGAAGGAATTAGTTATAATTTATAAAATTTTGGATAAATTTCAATTGAGTACATTAGGCCAAATTTGTAATTTCTAAAAAATAAAAAAAAATATATTTTTAATAACTATTTTTAATACATATATACAATACGTGTTTAAAAAAATAATAATAGAAATATTAAATAAAATATATAAAAATACTAAATCTATCACATTAATGACTATCAACATTAAGGACTAATCAGACTACACCAATATACTAAACGGGATGCACATTAATGAACGTCAGATTGTACAATATTGTCAGATCAAATGCACGATAGTTTGAGAATGCACATTAGAATATTACCAAAAAAAAATTATAAAATAAATAAATTAACATAACCGACTAACTTATATGTATATTATTTATTTTCAACAAACAATAATATAAAATATTAAATAAAATTATAAATGCTAAATATATTTTATTATATAATAATTTATTAATTGCAAAATCATATTAATTGAAATACGCGTTACTAATTTTTTTCTAAAGTTGTAACGTGGTATAAAAATACACGCACAATATGTTGCACAATAATATTAGACTACGTGCACATTAGTGGATGTATGAATGCACAACATTAAATTCAGGATTTCATATAATATGTTTAACAAAAAAAATAATATAAAATTATTAAAATACTAAATATATTATTAATATATTATTATTATTATTATTATTATTATTATTATTATTATTATTATTATTATTAGTAGTAGTAGTAGTAGTAGTAGTAGTAGTAGTAGTAATAATATTTTTTGATTATTTAGGGTTATACGGTTAATCGGTAGAATATACCAAGCAATTCATATCTGTTGTGAGTGCACAATAGTATTAAACATGTTGCACATAAATGACTACCAAATTGCACACTATCGATCAACTTGACCAAATTAAAATTTTCAATTCGAAATTTTAAATTTATGAACCAGATGAACAAACCAATTGATAATTATATATTTTTTAAAAATTGTAACAGGCTCTATAATGTGTTTGAAAATATACAGTATTGTGCATCTCACATATTATTAATGTGCANAAAAAAAAAAAAAAGAAAAGAAAAATTTTTGTCACCGTGCACACACACACACACAATACACACACGATGTCGTCGTCCGCCGCTGGGAGATGTAGAACACAAAACACGCCGTCCTGTCCGGCCGCCAGGTGCAGAGCATCAGCCGCTGGAATCGTCTACGCCGGCGAGCTCATCCGTCATCGACGTTGCAAGGTAGGCGCGCAGAATGGCCGGGGCTTGGGCGGACGGCGACGGCCGGCAACTAGTAGGGAATGGTGCGGGAAGGCCGGACCTCTGAATAAAATGGAATACTACGGCGGCAGGCGGCGAGGGGTGGCGGACGGCTACGGGCAGCGACTGCACGTGGGGATGCCATTCATCCCGACGGCGTCCACCATGGTGATGATGCGACCGGACCGGTGGGGCTACAACGGTGCCGGCGACGACATCCACCACTGGATGGCGACAATGTTCATACTGATCGCCGACAGAGATGAGTGTTGTGGCGGATGGCGCGGTTGTGGAAGATTGGGGCTGGAAGATGATGACAGGCGGGAATGGAGGAGAGATGGTGAAATTGGAGAGTTGGTGAGAGGAGTATGGTTACATAAATGCCCTCATGATTAATAATTAGTCAATATAGACTATTTAATTACAAATGTGCCATTGCCAGTTTGACTGAATTTGGTAGGTTTGACTTCATCTTAGTCATTAATAAAATAGATCCAATGGTCAAGAAGCATTCTTATTATTTTCATTGTGCTTCATTCTCATTTAAGCACACTTCTATATATATATATATATATATAAAGTGGGGACGTGAGACTCATTCCTAGCCACAAGATTTAGATCTTGATTTAAATAATAATTTTTTATTTTTAATTATTTAAATATTATTATGACCATTGACCGTTGACTCCGGCGTTGACCGTTGACTTCCGGTGTTGACTTCCGGCAAAAATCGTGGACTTCCAGCGTTGACTGTTGACTTCTGGCGTTGACCGTTGACTCCGGCGTTGACTTTCGACGTTGACCGTTGACCATTTGTCTTTTGTTATGTTATTTCTTTCTTGCTAGGTTAGTTATGTTTTGTTGCTAGGTTAGTTGTTTGTTGTTGCTAGGTTAGTTATTTGTAGTTGCTAGGTTAATTGAGTTTTGTTGCTAGATTAGTTGTCTTAAGTTGCTAGGTTATTTTTTTCTTGCTGCTAGGTTAGTTGTCTTTTGTTGCTAGGTTAGTTCTTTCTTGCTAGGTTAGTTGTCTTTTGTTTCTAGGTTATTTCTTTCTCGCTACTAGGTTAGTTGTCTTTTGTTGCTAGGTTAGTTCTTTCTTGCTGCTAGGTTAGTTGTCTTTTGTTGCTAGTTTAGTTGTTCTTTCTTGCTGCTAGGTTAGTTGTCTTTTGTTTCTAGGTTATTTCTTTCTCGCTGCTAGGTTAGTTGTCTTTTGTTGCTAGGTTAGTTCTTTCTTGCTGCTAGGTTAGTTGTCTTTTATTGCTAGTTTAATTGTTCTTTTGTTGCTAGTTTAGTTGTTCTTTCTTGCTACTAGGTTAGTTGTGTTTTGTTGCTAGGTTAGTTGTTGGTTAGTTGTCTTTTGTTGCTAGGTTAGTTCTTTCTTGCTGCTAGGTTAGTTGTCTTTTATTGCTAGTTTAATTGTTCTTTTGTTGCTAGTTTAGTTGTTCTTTCTTGCTACTAGGTTAGTTGTGTTTTGTTGCTAGGTTAGTTGTTGGTTAGTTGTCTTTTGTTGCTAGGTTAGTTCTTTCTTGCTGCTAGGTTAGTTGTCTTTTATTGCTAGTTTAATTGTTCTTTTGTTGCTAGTTTAGTTGTTCTTTCTTGCTACTAGGTTAGTTGTGTTTTGTTGCTAGGTTAGTTGTTGCTAGTTTAGTTGTTCTTTCTTGCTGCTAGTTGTGTTTTGTTGCTAGGTTAGTTGTGTTTTGTTGCTAGGTTAGTTGTTGCTAGTTTAGTTGTTCTTTCTTGCTGCTAGTTGTGTTTTGTTGCTAGTTTAGTTGTTCTTTCTAGTTGTGTTTTGTTGCTAGGTTAGTTCTTGCTAGTTTAGTTTAGTTGTTCTTTCTAGTTGTGTTTTGTTGCTAGGTTAGTTCTTGCTAGTTTAGTTGTTCATTCTTGCTGCTAGGTTAGTTTAGTTGTTGCTAGTTTAGTTGTTTTTCTTTCTGCTAGGTTAGTTGTCTGATGCTGCTAAGTTAGTTAGTTGTGTTTTATTGCTAGGTTAGTTGTCTGATGCTGCTAAGTTAGTTGTATTTTTTATTTTTTTTTATAAAAACACTGTAACCCATAGGATTTGAACCTGGTACCTCATGGAAGCAAGATAAGCAATGCAACCACTATACCACTCAAGGTTGAATGTCTTTTGTTGCTAGGTTATTTATTTCAATGCAACGGGTCAACGTTGGAAGTCAACGGTCAACGCCGGCAGTCAACGATTCTCGCCGGAAGTCAACGCCAGAAGTCAACGGTCAACGCCGGAGTCAACGGTCAACGCCGGAGTCAACTAATAATTAATTTATTATTTAATTAATATATATTTTAATTGATTTTGATCTAGACAAAATGAGTGGCTAAGATTGAGTCTCACGTACTCATTTTAAGGAGTGGTCTCATTAGATCCGTCCCCTATATATATATATATATCTTTTTATATTATAGAGAACTTTGTCCATTTTGTGTTGTACAACATTGAAAAAAAAAAAAATTGTGTCTCTAATGATTAATGTTAATTGTAGTATCATTTGTGATGTATAAAAGTATAATTACGGTAAAAAGAGATATAAATTGAATAAAATCTAATAAAAATTGTTTATAATGAGTTCTGCATCTAAAAAAATTTCTATATATTTTTAATGCCACATAAAGTTATTTGTGCAATGTTAGCAACAAAATAGAGCAATGCACTTATTCTTCCGCCTAATGAACATTTCCCACTCATCCCCTTGAAAAAATCTCTCTCTTTCCCTCTATTAATTCACCCTCCTTTAGCAGTTTTTCACCCGCCACCAACCAAACGCATGACGGGCCACAACAGCTTTGCCAGAGAGCCCATGCCAACGGGCTGGGCCGACCTCGAACTGATGCCCGACACCCCTACCCAACAGGCCCAACACCGACGGGCCCACTCAGAGACCCTCTTCCGCTTTCCAGATCTCGACGTCATCCTTATCGATGACGAGCTGCCGCCGGCTCCCCCATCACTAGTCCCTAACGGGCCGCCTCCGGCCCAGCCCGGTAAGAGCGACGGTTCCATGCTCAGATCCCATATCCGGAGCCTGTCCATGGACGCTGACTTTTTTGAGGGCCTTGGATTGGACGGGAAGCCGTCTCCGGCGCCGGTCGCCGCCGGCGACGTAGTCCGGAGGCCGGTGCTCAGGCATAGCAATTCAATGGATGGGTACTGTAGTGCTACGTCAGCTGAGGTGGAGCTTAGCGTAAAGAAGGCCATGGCTGCTGATAAGCTTGCAGAGCTTGCTTTGATCGACCCCAAGAGAGCTAAAAGGTTCAATTNTGATTGGATATAATTTTTTTAATTTCTTTTTTTTTGGAAAAATCTTGTGTAACGTAACAGGTGACATGAAAAAGTGATTCTTGTTTTCAAAAAACATGAGATGTGAAAAAGACAAAAAGTAAACATGAGATATATTAGAAAGAAAAAAAAAAGAGATAAATTTGAGAAGTGAATAGATATGAAATAAAGAATGCAGTAATTAAACCAAAGTTGATGTGAGTTAAAATAATAAAATATTAATTGATATTAGTTATAGTTCTTTTTTACTGAAAAATATATAATACTGATTTCGCTTATTTTTCAATTGTGAATTAGCAGAGTTTGTAGAGAAAAAGTGAGATAAAATGAATCGATGTAAAAATGTTTTGTTTCATTTTTAGTTTCAATGAGATAAATCCAAACTGAACTGACGAAAATGAAAAAGTATTGCATCCAATCGCAGCACGATGTGTTAAACGAGACCCCCGTGTCATATTGAAGTTTATTTTATTTTATTTTTTTTCAAATTTATTTTTAGTTACTAAATCTATCTAAAAAAATGGAATGATTGACATAATCCATGTAGCCTATTATTATTGTAAACTCGTGGCTTATGATTTTGGCTTGTCAATTAATTATAAAATTGTTTAATTTAATTATCGGGTAGGATTGTTGCAAATAGACAATCTGCGGCACGCTCGAAAGAGCGGAAAAATCGGTACACGAGCGAGCTCGAGAGGAAAGTGCAGACTCTGCAAACTGAAGCAATTAACTTGTCGGCTCAGATCACCGTGCTGCAGGTGTTTGTATAACCAATTGAGTTTAATAATGTTAATTGGGAGTGTTTTTTATATGATGGGGTTGGCATTATCACTTGTTTCTTGGATTCCATTGAAGTTGCATTGCATTCCTTAATTTATTATCATAGTAACTCAATTTTTAGTTATGCAAATGATAGTTGTTAGAATTAAAGACTGAGAACTGAAGCCTAAAGAATCAAGCTTTTGGTGATGTACAATGTTTCTGGAGTCTTAATTGGAAACCAAGGAATAGACTTTAAAATTGTATTCATATTATCCTATATATAATTCTTTGTCAAATTGGTTTATAGCAACATTTATAAATATTTTGGTAACTATTTTTCACATGATGCAGAGAGATACGAGTGGCGTAACAGCTGAGAACAAAGAACTCAAGCTAAAATTACAGTCTATGGAGCAGCAGGCACACCTTAGGGAGGGTATGTATATGTCAAAATTTTCCTATAATAATTAGTTAAGTTCTATGCATTTTTTATTTTCTGATCAATTTTCTAGAGAGAAAAATTGGTGTGTCAGGGAATTTTTTAACCACAAATTGTGACTTTTTTTTTTAATAAAAAATTGCAGAAAATACAATAGATTCTGTTCATTTTGTTTATTTATTTTCAACAAAATAAAAATAAAATAAAGCAGAAACACCAACAGTCACCCCACATACAGTGTATCTGGCCGTCTAGTCATATATTACCATTCATATTAATATCATATTCATGGGAGATTCTACAGTCCCGTTACGGAACCGTTCTGTCGGGATTGGTAACCGTTAGATCAACTATCCACGACGGTTACATGATGATCTAACGGTTACAAATCCTGACGAAATGGTTCCGTAACGGGATTGTAGCATTTCCCCATATTCATATCAACATTTATCACCAAACAACTAAATCGCTTCATATATCCTGTCATTCAAAATACATATTTTTTTTTTAAATCCCACCAAATCTTAAAAAGTCTTAACAAATTCTAGCACCAAATTAGTTAAATACCTCAGAATTTTGTAAGACTTTTCAAAATCTAATTCCTCAAGACTTTTAAAAGTCTTGAGAAGTTAAATATATTAGAATTTTTAAAGTCTGAAAAAAGTCTTTAAAAATCCTTAGAAATTCCAATTGAATACACTCCCCAAAGTTTCCAAAACGAAAGGATTTATCCATCTCTATTATGTGGTGTGTGCAGCTCTAAACGAAGCACTAAGGAACGAACTCCAGCATCTGAGGATTGCAGTCGGCCCGCTTCAGGCTGCCAATGGGTTGTCTGCTCAAGGCCCATCTCTGCATAACTTCACACTTCAAAGCCAGAACAACTCCTGGCCTGATGGACTGAGTTTCGAGGATTTTAATTTTCAATCCTAGGGTTTAAACAGCTAGATGTTATTCGAAATAGATGCTATTGTAACAAAAGATATGATCTTTCGTATATATGAAAGATGCATACTAGTTGCATGGTAAAGAGTCATCCCACTTTGTATATCACAAAATAAAGTCAACATATTGTACCAAAAAAAAAAAAAGTCAGCATATTGCGTTGATATTTAAATTAAGACTTAGGTATGCTGCGGAATGGATGACTATTAGAATATCACCAATGGTATACTGTTTATTTGGAGAATTATAACATGGAGAAGAAAATTACAAAATTTTGTTTCTAATGATTAATTTCAATTTTTAGTATAATTTGACATGTGGAAGATTATAATTGATTGGAGATGAGATATCTATTTTGGTACGTAAAAACCTCCGACCGACTGGAAATTGGTCTGCTCACGTGCTTCCTCGCCGGTTGAACGCCTTTAGACCTGCAAAAACTCTCACACCGGAGGGGTTTTCCGGTGAAGAGTCTTCAATGTTTAAATAAGTATGTGTAGAAAATGATTTACAAAGATGGAGTATATGAACGTTGAGGTAAAATCACATCTCACCCCTATTTATAGGGGTGAGGAACCTGCTTCTAGAAGGCTGCCCGATATATGATGAGCTGGCTACCCTAACTGTCCAAGTTGCCCGATAATACGATCTCTTTGTCAGAATGTGTCAGAGACGGTTTAAGGCGTGGACCTATGAGGTGGTGCCACGTGGTTTTACCCATTTGGGGCTTAATTCCCCTAAGGTTCCTTCTTGTCTTCAAAGGCACGACCAACTCTAGGTCGCTTGAGGTAAACCACTGACTGGTCTGAGTTTGAGTTCTGGTTGATCAAACAACCATTTACAACTACAGGTCAAGTTTCGACCAGGCCCTCTGAGAGCTCTAGTTCAACCTGTCCTCCCTTTATTAGACCTATTAGGCTATCTTCCATATCGAAGGCTCTTAATCCCACGATGCTCAATCAGGCCACTTTGCTCTGATTCTACTCGATCGGACGGTTCACTCGTTCTACTCGATCGGTTTAGTCACTTAGGTATGGTATCCCATATCATCTTTCCCCCCACTCTGGTTGAGTTTGAATAACTCGATCCAAGAGTCAATGTTTTTTCTTGTCCTTGGTTTATGCTCTTCATTTCATTCCTTCTAACCGCTTTACGTGCACCTATTACTTCATTTCATTCCTTCTAACCGCTTTATGTGCACCTCTTAATTCTCGACCATTCTTCTCTCTAATCTTCACTTCAGAATTCGAATTTCAAATCCCCATCCCATCAGTTTTGCTTTTCTGTCAGATTTGTCAGTTGAAATGTCAGGGTGACGTCATTGCCCCGTGAGTCACGCTGCCTAGTACGTTGCACCCATTAAATTCTTCCTTTCAAGTGATTGTTGGTTTAATTCCTTTAGTCCAACGGTTATTGAACTGGCGCCTCTTCTATTATCCCTTAAACCATAGCCCTTTATTTCAGTCATGATCAAACTGCCATTAGCTCCTGCCTTTTCCACTTCACCCCTTTTGCATTCTCGACCCTTGATCTTACTGCGGTCTGATGACTTCGCTCAACCCATCATTACAACGCCCCTTTCGAGTCTCGACCATTGAATCTGACTGCCATCGACGGCTAGGGTAGCTTTGCCCCCACACCTGCTACCTACAAATACCCTTGAAACCACATTCTGAAAGCTTTTTCACCTTTGCGAAATTGTTCCAGCTTTTTCAAATTCTTCCTGCAATCCTACTATCAGTGACCTCAAGATTTCAGATTTCTTCAGCCTACACTTCAATCGTTGATGATGAGTAAGTCTTTCTTCCTCGCCTTTATATGTTTTCAATTTTAATCTTTGCTATTTTATTTTGATTTTTCCTCTAAATTTTTTATCCAACCCACCAGCAACAAAATTTCAGATTTCTTCAGCCTACACCTGCTACCTACAAATACCCTTGAAACCACATTCTGAAAGCTTTTTCACCTTTGCGAAATTGTTCCAGCTTCTTCTTCTTCTTCTTCTCCTTCTCCTTCTCCCCAAAAACCCTAAAAAATCTTTCTTTTTTTTTATGTTTTTCCTCCTTTATTTTTTAGATTCCGCTACTTCGAGTGAAAATGACTATTTCTCTGGCAAGGACATGATTCCTCCATCCTCAACTTCGACCTCACAACTTCAACCATCTTCCCCAAGCAACTCCGTTGAGGATATTCTTCAACCTATGCCAATTTTTGTTATTCGGCCTAAAATCCCTGTCCAAACTCACCAAGCCCATACAACCTCACCTACTTTTTCTTCTCTTCACCATCTCATTCATCTGGTCAATGAGCCAGATCAAGACATTTCTAATGACCTTCCACCTCTTCGTCGCTCTCGCGGACCATTTGGGATGTATGATGGGCTCGAGGAGGTAGAGAAAGATAACCACAAGGTCCGTCATCCCAATCCCATTGCTTTCATTGAACCTTAATCTGCTTCGACCGCTGAAGTCGGTCCTTCCACCAATCGTGCACCTTCTCCTCGAGCTAACGCTTCACGCTCTTGAGCCAATCCTTCACACTCTCGCTCACGCAGACTGAAATTGTTAGACCTTGATGAAATCGACCATCTTTTCGGTTGGGACTTCTATAGCCCCAGAACCAATGACATTATAATCGACCTCTCGAGGGTTGTTACACTTTTTCTCAATGTCAATTCCAACTAGGTCTCTGTTTTCTGCTCTGTCCTGCCTTACTCGAAATATGTGGAATATTTGACCTGCCTTTAAACAAACTGCCTCCCAACTCCATCCAACTCCATTCGTCATATAACCACTTTCATCATCTTATTTTTTGTTCGTCTAGGTCGAATCGACCTAGATATTTTCTTTTATTGTTTCGTAGCTTCGAATCAAAAGGATGGGCTCTATCTGGAAAGTAGGAATAATGCCCACTTCTTAACTGACATCCCCTCTAATGTTCTTAAATGAAAACATAAATTTATATATGTTCAGCCTGATGCTCCTTTTCCTTGGACGTCGACCCCATGGCTTAAGTACCCTCTTTTCGAGACTGAAAAACCTCCCTGCAATCCTTTGTTTGACCGATGCATCGCCTTGTGGAACTCGAACCCAATCACGTCCATGACTTATCTTAAAGACAACAATATTTTGCACCATTGTGGTATACTCACCCTTGACTTGTACTCTCCTCTTTTCGAGCAAAAACTATGTGATCTTCAACTTCACGAGGCTACAGAGCCTGGTATACCTTGAATCCTTCGACCTGAAGGTATCGACATCCACTAGTTTAATGCTGCAATTAACTACTTTTTGTTGACTTCTTGCAGAAGAGTTTTTGAATCGACCGAACCTTAAGAGACTGACATCTATTAAATAAAAGGCAATATCCTCTCCTCTCAAATCAATTAAAAAAGACCAACGATATTCAAGCGATTCACAAGATGCAGTTCGTCGAGAAGTTCAACTAACATAGCATTTGATTCGGAAAAAAAAAAAACAAAACTATTAAACCCTCGAGCAATGTTATTCAAGTAAAAAATCCATCCTTAGAAAGATCGAAGAAGAAAGTTCTCCAAGAAGTAATTTTCAAGTTCTAACCATTCAAGAGAAGAAAAAAGGCGGCGATTCCTCTCCAAAATAAAGAGACAATATCCACCCCTCTAATGTCAATACGAAAAGACCAACAATATTTAAGCGACACTCAAGCCGCATGTCATCGAGAAGTTCAGCTAGCATAATATTTGATTCGACAAAAACTATTATACCCTCGAGCAATGTTATTCAAGTCAAAATATTTTCTTAGGAAGATCAAAGAAGAAAATCATCTAAGAAGTAATATTCAACCAAATCAAGTTATAACCGTTTAATTCGTAATCAACTCATTCTATCCCCAAATTAACGTTAAATCAAATTTAAGCTCAAGCATGAAGGAGAAACATCGTAATGCAACTTCTCAGCTCTAAAGCCAAAGCCTACCAAGAAAAGAATCAAATGAGATTTATAGAGATTGTACTGCAAATCATTTGATTCGAAATAAAATAAATTGTGCAATTCTTTTATGTTTTTCATAAATTTATAATTATAATTTTGGCACGTCCGGTGGGGCCATCTATACCTCTTATCTTTTCGTTGGCATGTCCGGTAGAGCCATCTATACTTCTGATCTTTTCTTTTTCAAATCAAGTTCAAAGATCTTGAAAGATGCATGACGATCTCTGTCTCTCATCTCTTCTCTTCAATCAAGTTCGAAGACCGTTAGAGGGCAACTGAAGATGATGTCTCCTCAGGCCATGAATGCGTCGAAAATCACCGGTTTCATCAAATTCATCCAAATGGGGGCAAACAGAAGCAGATCCACATGTCCTTATTCATAATGCGAATTCCATGGGGGTAATTTCTGTGAAGCGCTTCCATCAAATAAAATCATCAATTCTCTTTGTTGCGAGCCTAAACTATCTACCAATTCAATTGCTCATTGGTTTGAGTCTAAACTATTCACAACGCTCATTGATATGAGTCTAAATTATCTATAAATTCAAGTGCTCATTGATAAGAGCCAAATTATCTACAAATTCAAATGCTTTATGATACAAGTCTAAACTATCTACAAAATGCTTTTTTTTTTTAACATGAGTCTAAACTATCTACAAATTCGAAGTTTCCTTGACACGAGCATAAAATGTCTACAAAATCAAGACCTCCAAGATATGAGAACAAAATGTCTACAAATCAATGAAGATCTTTTTGACACGAGAATAAAAAGTCTATAAGTCAAATATAAAGGCTCCATTATACGAGCATAAAATGTCAACAAAATCAAGATCTTCTTGACAAGAGAATAAACTAACTACAAGACAAATATGAAGACTCCTTTATACGAGTATAAAATATCTACAAAATCAAGATCTCCCTGACAAGAGAATAAACTATGTATAAACCCTAATAAAGCTCCTTGTTACGAGGTTAAACTATCTTTAAATTAGAAGAGTCCTTAACACGAGCATAAAATGTCAGCAAATTTGAAAGTTACTTTGATACGAGTATAAAAGATCAAAAAATCAAAAATAACACTTTTGAAACGAGAATAACTATCTTCAAATCAAACTAAATGAAGAACTCTTGGTAAGAGTATAAACCATCTTCAAATTAAATCAAATCAAGACTCCTTGGTAAGAGAATAAAATGTCTACAAATCAAGACTCCTTGATACGAGTTTAAACTATTGTTTGTCCCTTTTTTGTTGCTATTTCTGTTGGTGTTTTGCGTGGTGTTTCCGATCCGTCTAGTCGTTTCTTGTATTTTTATCTTTATTTTGGTGTGTTTTGTATTTTATTTGTTTTTCTTCCTATTTTTCTTGCTTTTCATGTTTTTTCGGTTTTGGTGGTTTCAGGTCGTTCAGGTTCCTAGGTGTTTCATCCCGGCTCGTGCCAGCAAACATGCGAGGATTGAGTTTCTAGCTCCGGAAAGACCCGAGAGACGCTAGCTGAGAACACGCGAGCCCAAGAAGTCATCATTTTGGAACTGCCCAGGCCTTAGCGCCGCTAAGGCGACCAAAGCTTGCGGCGCTACACACGATAGCGGCTCCAGAGCGCATCAGCTAAGGAACCTTGGCGGCGCTAAGGGGTTAGCGCCGTTAAGGTCTGTTTTTAAACAGCAGCGATTTTCATGGATTTTAAAATGAGGAGATGATAATATCGAGCCTAAGGCATGTTTTTCATTCTTTCAGACATTGTGTACTCGTTTTTCACTTCCAAAAATACTTTTCTCTTAGTTTTTCATTGAAATTCAATCTTGGATAGTGAAAACTCCAAGATTCGATATTAATCGTAAGCTTTTCTTTTCATTTTTTGTATGAATATGATGGCTTGTTTAATTGTGAATTGTTGTGTTGAAATTGCAATGAGTGGCTAGATTCGTTAACTAGGGTTATGTTGATTGCTCTGTCTTTGCGAGTTGTGCTAATCCTAGGGTTAGATGATTGATCACTATCCTAATCTATTTAATCGATTTTAAAACCGAAAGGGGAGAAATCGATCGATCTTGGATCGTTTAGAATAGACTTGTTCGAAACGTATTGTCTATGTGTTAATTGATTCAATAATTGTTCATTTATGTTTATTCTCTTGTTACGTGGATTACTGAGAATGAATCTCTAGATGAATTAGTTTTTTGAGTCCTTTAGCCGAGTAGTTGATTGCCTGTTAAATGTGTTTAGAACTGAAAACGATTGTCCCCGACACCCCAGTCTTTTTATTGCTAATTGATTTGTGTTTTGAGTTGTGAGACTGAGATAACTTGTTTAAGAATCACTAGTTGATAATCGAAACCCATCAATATAAAGTCACGACTCCCCAATATAAACTATCTACAAATCATGTCAAATGAAGAACTCCTTGATTTGAGTATAAACTAATTTTCAAATCAAATCAAGATATGAGTTTAAACCATTACTTTGAAATAATGTTTGATTTGATAAAAAAAAACTTTCAAGCCCTTGAGTCAACGTTATTCAAGTCCAAATGCGTCTCTAAAGAGATCAAAGGAAAAAGTCCATTAAGAAGCCATACAATCAAATCAAGTCCTAACATTTAATTTGATAATATGTCATTCGACTGCAAAATTAATGTTAGTAAAATTCAAACTCAACCCAAAGGAGATCCAAACGACTAATCTACCATCAAAGATGCAAATCCATGTCCAATAAGAGAAGAATTAAGCCTCAATTGTTTGCATTGATAGGATATAAGTATTTTTTTTATTTAAGGGTGACATCATAAATGATTACACTGTGGATATGAAAATGGATCTACATTTGTTGCCAACGACTGCCCGTGAGATAGGATTTGTATAAAATTTAGTTCCTACGTTTTTTTGCAATGACAATAGTTGGAACAAAATCTAATTTTACCAATTTATCCCTTAAACTTTGCCCAATTTATTTGTGGTTGGAATACAATTTATATTACCAATTTAACAAATTTGATCTGCGAAAAAACATTTAGTCTTCCTCTGTAGCTGTGATCGATGACCATGTCCCGTTGAATGTTGTCCACGTGAACAAACTCCCGGCATATGTTGTTCTCCTCATGCTCGATAATCTCTGCAATGAAATCTTTCTCGAACCCTCTTTCCTTCCCATGGTTGTGATCCATGCCTCTCTAATGGCTCTCATTGCTTGAGAGCCGACACCAGTCACCATTGGGCTTTGACTGAGGAAGATTCAATGACGACTGATTCACTACATCCTCCTCGTCAATATAGAGGCCGTTATCACACAACTTGGTCTAAAAATGCAAGGGAAAAAAGGAATATATGAAAAGGAAGATTCAACGACGATTGATTCACTACATCCTCCTCGTCAATATAGAGGTCGTTATCACACAACCTGGTCTAAAAATGCAAGGGAAAAGGAGTATATGAAAAGAAGCATAAGAGTGGTTGTCTTTGTTCTCACTCGACATTTTCATAGTAATAATTAGTAATACATAGATATAATTTGTATGAATAATATAAAATGCTACTCAACTCAACTTTACTCAGTTAATCAGAGA